TTGGCGAGCTCGAGCCCATGAGCTCATTTGTGCTTTATATATATAATATATATATATATTAGGTTTTTATTATTATGAATTATAATAAAAAAATTACCAAAAAAAATTGTAATATATTTTTTAATTATTTAAAAAAATACTCTTAAGTTTATATTAATTGTATTTGTAATAAAAATTAAATGAAAAAAGCTTGTGAGCCGACTCGCGAGCTTACGACCAACTAAGAATAAGCTCGAACTCGAGCTTTTGTTGAGGTGGCTCACCGAGCTCATGAGCCGGCTTAACTCATGTACACCCTGAGTTGCTATCCCACTTGAAGCAACTGCAACGATTATTTCACTTTTTGATCTCAGAGCTTTTGAAAGCGTTCTCCAAATACATGTTGGCCAAAACTTGACGATGTTCTACATTTAGGGAATGTCTGTCATATTGAAGTTCTTCATGGATAAGTACGTTCTAAGTTTGCATAAGCAAAAAACATTTAGGCTCGGTATTGTTGGAAAGTCAATAAGTGTCTTATTGTTACTCAGCAAAATATTCTCTATTTCTACAAGAGAAGTTCTTCAACGACCTGCAAATCTATCACATTGAAAATATATAATTGCGTAAATATTAGAAATAATTAAATTATGATATCGAGTAGGTTTGGTAATACAATCCATGTCATATTGAAGTTCATCATGGATAAGTACGTTCTAAGTTTGCATAAGCAAAAAAATATTTAGGCTCGGCATTGTTGGAAAGTTAACAAGTGTCTTATTGTTACTCAACAAAATATTCTCTATTTCTACAAGAGTGAAGTCCTTCAACGAAGTGCAAATCTATCACATTGAAAATATATAATTGCGTAAATATTAGAAATAATTAAATTATGATATTGAGTAGGTTTGGTAATCCACGTAAACTATGCAAAATTGACCGTCATCAAATTATACCTGGAAAACAAAGGAAGCCCATTTCCTTATGTAGGATATCGTCATTCAAATACTGTCATGTGTTGTTCCAAATCCGTTATGGTCGTGAAAGCTGGTTTCCGATCATCTTCAGCAAGATAACATCCATTTTAGGGCTAACGCTTCCCGCAAAGTGCCTAACTGTATTT